AGAATAGAATAGAATAGAATAGAATAGAATAGAATAGAATAGAATAGATCTAGTGGGGTTTCCTGCCTGAGCAGGGCGGTGGACTAGAAGACCTCCAAAGTCCCTTCCAACTCTGTTATTCCATTCTGTTCTGTTCTCAATAAAGATTCTGTTCTATTGTATTCTGTCTTTTTCTCCTATTCCTACTCTACTCTATTCACTGAATTTATTCGTCCCACATCTCATAATCTCTGGGCGGCTTTTGAACCACCGCTAAGCAATCTGTCATACGTTGAGGACTACTTGTCCTCGATTCGAGTGTCCTGAGATATGTCTGGATTACAGGGGCTCCACGCTCCACCGCCGGCTCTCTTGGGGGGGGGGGGGGGGGGGAGGAGTAGACTTTGCCCTGTGCTGAGCAGCTGCTGCCTAATATGGGATGTTTCCAGCCGCTTCTCCGGTTCCTGCCAGAGAACCGCTGCTGACTCAGGGCTTCCTCCAGCCGAGGGGCCTCGGGAAAGCAAGCTTGTTGGGGAAATCCCTCCGACAGCAGCAGGGAGAAAATTAGGAGCTCCATTTCCTTCTCCAGGCGCTCAGGACCGCTTGAACTCCAGTTTGGATGATATTGAATTCTTTATTGTCATTGTACATATGTGCACAGTCTCCCCATACAACGAAATTCACCTAACACCCGGAGACCAGACCCAACAGGCACACAGACACACACACACACACACACACACACATGACAATCCCCAAACACACACACACACACACACACATGCCAAAATTCCCTGCCCCCTAAAAACACACAAGGTGTTGTGGTTCGCCAGCAGCAGGTGCAGACGGCAGCGGAATCGGACAGTGGGGAAGAACAGGGACCAGTCCGGGAGTCTGGGGAGGACTCGGACGAGGGTCCTGCGTCCGATGCAGAGATGGGGCCAGGACCATCTGGGAGTGGGGTGCTGACTCCGGAGCCTCCAGAGTCTGGCAGCAGCGAGGCCGAGGACCCAGGGGAGCCTGTTCCCAGTGTGCGTATGCGCAGAGCTGTCAGAAGGCAAGAACAATTAAGACAAAAGGGGCGACTTG